GCTCCCTTGTTCCCCACCCCGCCGCTCCGCGGGCCTGCTCCCCAGCTCCCTTCCCTCCAAGCAGTGGTGGCAGCGCCGGATTCGCAGCGCCGCGAGGGCCCGGTGCGGGAGGACTCTCTTCCGTCCTGCCTGGAATTCCTAAGTCCGGGCACGTCCATCCCGGCTCGGCGGACCTCGGCTCCTGCCCCCGGGACGGGATGGAGGCGCGGAGGCCTGGGAGACGCTCGCCGTGTAGGGAAGGGCGGCTTCGCGTTTGAGAGCCAGGATCACAGCGTTGGGTTTCGTGTCTCCAGCGGCCGAGCACTGTCTGGCACTAGTAGATCCTGCAAAGGGGTGAATGGCGTGAAAATAATTGGTTTTGGAGACCTGCACTCACTGGAATGGCAACTCTGGTCCCTCGGACGTTAGATAACCTAGGACAAGTTACTATTCTTCTCTGAGCCTAGCGGGGTTTGTTTTTGTTTGTCTTTTTCATATATAAAGGGAGATAATTGTTATCAATAACCTTGAGAGGCCACAAAAAGTAATATGCCCAAATGAATGCTTGGCATGAAAAATTACTACTCTAGTGAAAAAGATCCGCATGTAATTTGTAGCAGAAAGTAAACATAAAGGGAACAGTAATATTAGGTTGTAGCCTGACAGTTCCTGGGTTTGTGACAAACCACTAACAGTAAAATGAGGAAAATGAGCTTAAAGGTACTATCTTACAGTCAGTGAGCTAGCTTTTTTTAAATGATTATTTGCAGGTGCGTGTATGTGTGTTAAAAGAGCCTTGCTTTTATGAAGTCATGGCTGTTTCTTAAAAACGTTTTCGTTTCCTGTAGTCTTTCTGATTGAAAATGCCTAGGAACGCTGTGGTAGTGATTACAAGACTGAGAAATGTTCTTTTCTCCTGGCTGCAGATGAGGCCTTGCTGTAGTTCGTTGATGACCATTGAGTTGAAATGGGCTTGTGCTGGGGCACTCCAAGGTTTGAGGTGTTTGAGTGTTTGGCTCTTCTGATGTCTTGGTCTTGAATGCTTGGAAATTATCTAACTTAAGGTACAGTTTGCCATAGGATCCTGAAATGTTTCATCTCATGGGGAAGAAAGTTTTATTTAGTTTACACATCCCTTGAAGCATTTGAAAACTTGGGAAATTAGCTTCATTTGCTGGAGCATCTGGAAAACAACTTCGTGCGCTTTTTCTGATGTGCTGTCATGCACAGACTGCTCCAGTAACATTTCCTTTGCACTTCAAAGACTGTGGGAACAAACATGAAATTAAGAGTAGAAGACACAGAGGGCCAGTGCAGCAGAGAGGACAGCATGGGACTGTTCAAACTGGGACCAAAACTTGGCTAATCCAACCCTCTGTGCAATGCATCATAACTCTGGGCTTTTTGAGTATTTTTTACAGCATTTTATATTTACAGCAGAATCGAGGAAGGAGCAGAAATATCTCATAGACCTCCTGCCCCTGCACATAATTTCCCATCGTCAGCATCGCCCACAGAGTGGTGCATTTCTTATCACCGGTAGACCCACACTAGCACTTCTGTATTGCCCCAGATCGTAGTTTACATTGCAGCTCACTTGGTGTAGGACGTTCCATGGGTTTGCATCCATCATTATTTTATCATACAGAGCAGTTTCACTCAAAATTCTGCATGCTGTGCCTGGTCATTCCTGCCTTCTCCAGCCCTTGGTAACCATTGATCTCTTCACTGAATCCATAGTTTTCCCATAACTTTTTTTTTTTTTTTAAGTAAGTCTTGATTTTGAGTAACAAAATAAATGTGTCCAAACATATTAGTATTTTTTTCAGATTGTCTTCAAAGCTATTCAGGTTCTGTCTTATATCTGTGATACTATTATAGCATTAAAGATGATGGGAAACCGGGCCTGGTGGTGCATGCCTGTAGTCTTACTGTAGGATGAAGCAGGAGTATTGCAAGTTTGAGCCCAGCCTGGGCAGCTTAGCAACTTTGCAAGATCCTGTTTCAAATTTAAAAGGCTAGGGGGATACAGCTCAGTACAAAGCCCCTGGATTCAGTTCCCAGTACCACACAAAAAATACAGAATTACTTTCCCCCAAACCATTGAACTTTAGGCTGAACAATTTTTAAAAATAGACTTCATTTTTTAGAGCAGTTTTAGGTACAGAGCAAAATGGAGCATAAAGTACAGAATTCCCGTGTACAATAAGAACTCCTACACCTATACAGCCTCCTCCATTGTCAGTATCTGGTATCAGTATGATATGTATTATCGTCAGTGGACCTAAAGGACACATCATGATCACCCAGAGTCCACCATTTACATTAAGATTCCCTCCTGGTGTTCACCCTGCCACACACACACAGAGTCTAGAGTGTGTTCAGGCTGGCCTCGAATTCCCAGTCCTCGTGCCTCAGCCTCTTGAGTACCGGGATGACAGGTGTACATCACTGTGCCCTGCTGTCTTGGTGTTCATTCTTAAACATTTTAATTCTGGGATCTCTGAAGGGTTAAGTTCTTGATGCCCACCCTTTGGGCCTGTTCTCTGGATGTTTCCTTCATGTTCTTTTCTATTTGTGCCCTTTTAAAGAGATGTACCCACTAGATAAAATAGGAAAACAAAGCAGCAAATTAAATTCTGCACATTGTGTTTTAACAGTTGTGGCACATTGCTCTTTTCTTGCCTGCCCACGTATGTATTCCCTGAGCCCAATTTGCTGTCCCAGGTTTCGATAACAGTTTCATTCTGTTCCCCAAACTCGCAGCAGTTTTGAGCCATGGACAGTTCTAGTCACGTTAAGAACCCGAATGCTTGAGTCACAGGGTGGCCACATTTACATTGACTAACTCATATGACATGTTTAAAGAAGTGCAGTTTCCATATTTTAAATAATACTTAACCACCCCATCACTTTAATGTTGGAAACATTTTTCACACTGATGCTTACATGAAAAGGCTTTTTACTTTTGTAAAATTTTTTTGTTTTTAAAATTTTATGTGCATAGTAAAAAAGTATTGTTATTTAATGATTAAGAGTACAGAATAGTGTTTTGAATTGACCCTAGCATATAAGATACACTTTTGTTGCTATTGTGATTGAAATAAATAATTGAAATAAAGTATTTGAAGTGTATACATCAGCAGAATGAAGATACTGTTTACTGTCAAAAGCTTAAAGGCAAGCTTTATTACCCTTAACAGTAATTCATATAATTGTACTTTAAATTGTCTATAACTGAAAGTCCTAGGATGTGAATATATTACTTTATGATTATTTTTCTCTCAAGTGAAAATAAAGTTTGGGAAAGCAGTTTGACTGTTCATGTTAAGACTTTAATATATGTTAAAAATTTAAAAACTAATAGAAATGAAAAACTTACTGCAATGTTTGTGAATTTTAATATAGTACAGTTCAGCTCTCTGAATTGGAATGGACAGTAGTATTATGGTTGAGTGTTTCTTGTTTACCTTAATTGTACATATATATGTATATATAGAGTATGTTTTCCTTCATAGAGATAATGAATTATTTTAAATTTTTTATCCTCCACTATATGGAATGGTGAAAGGATGTGGCTTCCTTTACATTTTGCACATGCGTTCAGATTTTTTAAAAATTTGTAGTTATTTGTTAAGTGGCTTTTTGCTTTGCTGCAACTTACTTTGCTGTTCACTCGAGAAGTCTTGGGACATTCTTCCCAAGGGAAAAAGTCTTGGGACATTTTAGGACATTGGGAACTGTATAAGTCTGTAGTCTTCCTTGTTTTTCTTTTATTAGTTATATAGTATTTCATTTGGAGAATGTACTTTAATATATTTAATGTGCCGCAGTTTGATGGTGGCTTGCGTGTTTTCAGTTTTTGTTACTGTAATTTAATTGAACATTCTTTTTTACTTTTTATATATTTTCAGTCTTTGGAAGCAGATAATTTTTACAATTTTAAACCTCTTTCAAAACATTTTAGGGCCAGGGATTTAGCTCTGTGGTTCCACTGCCAGCTTTGCAAGCGCAAGGTCACGAGTTCGATCCCCAGTACAAAACAAAAAGACAAAAAAAAAAAAACATTTTACTATTAGGTAGCACTAAAATTTTGACATGGTGCCAAAGACGTAAGACAGATGTGAATACCACTTCTGTTTTACAAATTGTGGTCTTAGCCCACATGTTATACAGAACTTGCTTCCTCTCATTAGTTATTTAGGGGTGTTTCTTGGGCTAATAGTCCCTTCATTGTAGCCTTCACACCAACTAAATGTTTGGCAGAGGTGGTTGAATGAAATATTTAGGGTATAATAGTTTATATTTTTTAAATGCCTGTTTTGAATGAGGGATGTGTGTAGCTCAGTGGTGTAGCTCACTGGTGGGCCTGAAAGCTCAAGGTCCTGAGTTTGATCTCTGGTACAAAAAAAAAAAAAAAAAAAAGCCTATCTTTAGCATTGCTGTGATACCTGTATGCTCGAACATCTGCAGCATTCCTTCTTGCTTGAAGGAGAATTATGTCAAAGGTTTGTTTCTGTTCCCAAGTAATTAGGCTGCGTTTTTTTAATGGAAGTATATGTTTATGGAGTTTTATATTATTTACTGTGTCAGAAATTTTGAAGTATGTAACATTTGTTACAAAGGTAAAAATGGTTACTTTTACAGATTTTGGTAAATAAAATGCAAGAAATACATTATTAGGTACTGAGTAAAACTTTAAAATCAAACTTGATACTAGTAATCATTTTCAACCAAAAATAAGTTATCATTTTTACAGTAAAATATTATTTAAAAAGTAAGAGTTTTGTGTGTGTTGACTTGAATTAAATTAGGAAAACCAAATGTAAAGATTAAGAGATTGTAAGAAATGTAAAGATTAAAAATCAAATTGTAGCAGAGTGAATTTTAATAAAATTATCTCTGATAGAAACATTATCATTAAAGGCATTTTTCACTTTCTTCTTTTGGGAGGTGTTGGGTTTTTGTTTGTGTTTGTTTTTGTGGTACTGGGGGTTGAGCCTGAGGCCTTCACACTGAGCTACACCACCACCCCCTTTTTTTTTTTTTCAATTTTGAAACAAGTAATTTGTGATCCTCCTGCAGGGTGTTCGGATTAAAGGCATGTACCACTGTACCCATTCCTGTGTTTTAACTTTTTAAGAAATTAACAAATTGTTTTTCACAGCAACTATTTTATATCGCTACCAATAATGGTCAAGGATTCTAATTTCTCCACATTTTTGCCAACCTTTATGATTTTCTGTTGTTTTGATAGTAGCCATCCTTATGGGTGCCACATGACTTGTCTTGGTTTTTATTTCACTTTCTCTAATGAGTAATGATGCTTTAACATTTTAATATATTGTCAGGCGTGGTGGTGCACACCTGTCATCCCAGCACTCGGGAACCTGAGTCAGGGAGATAACTGAGAGTTCAAGAACAGTTTGAGCTACATACTTAGGGAAACCCTGTCTCAAAAAACAAAAACAAAACCCTTTTCGTGTGTTTACTGGCCACTGACTATATGTCTTTGGAGAGAAGTGTCTACTTAAATGCTTTACCCATTTTGAATTGATTTATTTGAAGCTTTTGTTGTTGTTGTTGTCGTCCTTGTAAGCATCTACATATCCTGAATGTTAATTTTTTCTCTGATACAGGATTTGCAAGTATTTTCTCCCTGTCTGAATTGTCTTCTTGCTTTTTTTTTTTTTTTTTTTTTTTTTTTTTTTTTTTTTTTTTTTTTTTTTTTTTGGTACCAGGGATCAAACTTGGGACCTTGTGCTTGCGGCAGAACCACTTAGCTAAATCCCTGGCCCTTGCTCTTTTGAAACTGTCCTTTTATGTACAAATGTTTTGATTTTCATGAAGTCTTCTTTTTTGTTGTTACCTGTATGTAACTTAATTTCTGATGTTAGCAGTTGCAAATGAAGTTGTCATTAATATAACACAGTATTTCCTGGGATGGTAGAATATTCCATAAATTCAGACTTAGCTCCTTTTAAGCTTTTTTGGGGATTGAGTTCCTTCATTTGTCAGCACATACAGTGCAAAGCACTTCACAGGTTTTTGAGCTTTAAGAGAAAGCATGCTTATACCTCTGTAGGGAAGAGGCACCACTGTTTCATCAAGTGTCTGTCAGAACAGCAGCACATGTCATAAAATAGTATTTCTTATCTCAAATTTTCAAGGCTTATAGATTAGATTTATTTTTATAATAAAATGTTGATTAGTCAGATTGTTCATGCTTAGTTGTAGTATGCATTTATAAAAAAGGCTGCTTGATATAAATGAGCTTTAACAATTTTAATGGTTCTTTAAATGCAATTAATTTGTGTTTTTTCCTCAAGGCCTACATGAATCCAATAGCAATGGCCAGATCAAGGGGTCCAATCCAGTCTTCAGGGCCAACAATCCAGGATTATCTGAATCGACCCAGGCCTACCTGGTATTTGTGAAACAATTTGCCTATTTATAAGCTTTTTTGTAAACTTTTAAAACTTTTATTCTTATAATTTTTATTCATTGTCAACTAATTGCCAGTTAAGTGATGTTTTAAAAGTAGTGTTTGACTATTTAGCTCATGCTTTCTTTTGAATGGATGAAGCACATGTGCAACTATAAAACATATGAACATCTACCACCCAGTAAATCTAAAACACTGCCCAGTAACCTTTTCATGGCAATCTTCTCTATCCCCTGAAAGACTTTACTTAACCTTGCCAGGGTTCCAAGCTATTTAAAATAATGAATTTGAGCTAGGTGTCATGGCACACACCTGTAGGAGATGGCACCTTTGATCCCAGCCTGTACTATTCATGATTTGGCAAGACATTACCTCAAAATTTTTGAAAAGGGGCTGGAGATGTAGCTCTGGGTTTCATCCCCAGTGTGAATAATCATGCCCTTCATTGATTTTAACCAGATGTTGGAAAGAAGGTTCATTTTTATTTCTAGTTTTATCTGCTGGCTTGTTAATAAGTTGGAAAAACTCATTGAATAACTCTGATCTTTTATAAATGAAGCGTCCTAGTATAGGCTTTATTATTTTGTAGTGTATTTTTTTGTTTTTGTTTTTGTTTAGGTTTTTTTTTTTTTGTTTTTTTTGGTACCAGGGATCAAACTCAAGTCCTTACACTTGTGAAGCAGGCGGCGGAATATTTTTTGTATTCTTAATAACCATACATTTTTATATATGACAAACTTCAGAGTTCTTAACTTCATAATCCTAAGTTGTCTTGGATGCTGCTTAGCAGTGATTAAAAGGTGTGCTTATGCCAGGTGTGGTGGAGCACACCTGTAATACCCACATTCAGGAGGCTGAGGCAGGAGGATTGCCATGATTTCAAGGCCAGCCTGAGAAACAGCAAAACTGACTCAGAAGAGCTTTAAAAAAAAGAAAGATGTGCTTATTTATAATAGGGACTCTTTCTTTTGGGTTAAATGGGAAGTAAGCCTTTACTACTCTGAAGTATTTGAGTGCTATTGTTAACCATTGCAATATACTAGAACAAAGCATATTTTACCTTTACAATGAAGAGAGGTATGAACTTGAAAGAGGATGTGCTCAAACAGGCGTATGATTTGTGTGTCAGAGTTAAGCCAGTTCTCAGGTTGGTTCATTATAGGACTTATAGAGTGTCAGCCAGTAGTCACACTTGAAAGATTAATTACAGTGAAAGAATACCAGGCACAGCCAGCAATGGGAAAAGGTACACGGGTTGAAGGCCAATCACTAGTGTTGGTCAGACTACCTGTCACATTTCAGAATCCCAGATTCCAAGAAGGATGGCAGACACTCAGCCTGCTACTAGTGTCTGCTACTCAGACACTACGTTGTCTATACACAGTTTAGGAAGTAAGCAACTCTTAATCAGTGAATGGTAATAACCCCCTAAAATCCAAATTGCCAAGGTCTTGCCTTGGGCCAGTCTTGTAAGCAAGCCTTCTCAGAATAAGCAGTCAGGATGCTGTGTTAACTCTTCCCTGCAGACAGGTCAGGTATGTTATAAAATGGGAGATTTAGTATTCGAATCCAGAAGTTTAGTCAAATAGCTTGCCCTAACACTGAAACTTTCAGCTTTATAACCTTAGATTTCTTAGCTTCTCTAACCTTCAGTTTCTTTATCTGAAAAACTGGGAGTAAGTACTGACTTTTCTTACAGGGTTATTGTGAAGGTTAACTGTATTTAAACAGTTGTATGTAAGTGCTCAGATATTTGATATGTTAACTCATAATTGATGTTTAAAAGAGGAATGATTCTGATAGGCTTTATTATTTACATAGCTATGAATGTAGAAATTTAAAATATATTAATATTTGAATGGAGGTCTATTAGTAAAAATTTAGTTATGAAATTTTTGTTATCTTGTTTATGAGCATCAATCAATTTGAAGTACTTGGAATATTATTTGTACATTCTGTTTTTTAAGGGAAGAAGTGAAAGAGCAACTAGAAAAGAAAAAGAAAGGCTCTAAGGCTTTGGCTGAATTTGAAGAAAAAATGAATGAGGTTTGTAAATAGTACTCTTAAAGAAATAAAGGGCATAAGTCTTGAGGTTAAGGGGGCTCTGTTTTTTAGGACTTCTGGCATATTAAGCACATGTTTATATTTACATGCATGCTTTCTTAAAAGAATAACTGTCTTGTAATTAAAATTATCTACGTTGTCTAAATGTTGGATTCTTCTCCCTGCATTCCCATTTACCCTGAGTTTCCATGGTGATGTTTGCTTGTTTTGTATGTAATGTATATGTAGATATATTATGATCAACCATCATGTAGATCAATTCAGCTTTTACAACCTAGAAAGAGAATCTTGGTATCTTTGTTAAAAGGAAAAGAGGCCCCAGCCTCACTAATAGTATCTTATACCTCTCCTTATGCACTGGAGAATTCCCACCCTCAGTATCTGCTAGAGAAAAAGCTAATATAGACTCCTTTGGTGATACCATCAAGAACTAGTACCTAGAGCATCTATTTTTGAAAAAAGATCTCACTAGGTTGCCTGTGCTGCCCTGGAACTGCTGGGCTCAAAGAAGCTTCCTGCCTGAGCCTACCTAATAACTAGGACTGTAGGCGTAGACTGCTAAGCCCAGCTTGGACTACCTCTTGCCTGTAACCTGAAGCTGAGATGGGTGAGAGATATGAAAGGATGGAGGGAGGGAAGTACTGTAGTGGTTGTTTTTCTATATTACATCTGTTAGAAGGGGGCTGATAGCCTCTATTTGTGTCTGTGCCCTTTTTTTACAGAATTGGAAGAAAGAACTAGAAAAGCACAGGGAGAAATTATTAAGTGGAAATGAGAGCTCATCCAAAAAAAAGCAGGTAATACCATTTTTACTATAACTTCATACTTGAGTTTTCACAGTAATGCTATATACTACTATTACCAGATAGATTTGAAGATTCACATCAACTTATTTAGACTTGTATTTGTTTCCATTTAGAGAAAGAAGAAAGAAAAGAAGAAATCTGGTAGGGTGAGCAAAAGTTTTCCATTTTTCTAAATGTTGTAATTAAGAGCCTTCAGAAAAAGTAAGAATAATTTATTTAACATGTATGCTCAAAGCTGTCTTGGTCTCTAAATGATGGTGCGATGGGTGGTGAGGTTGTTAGTGACAGGAGAGAAGGATGCCAGTCTCCTTGTAACCTGGCAACTCCTCAGTTGCTATTAAAAGAAGGCAGCTGATGACAGTTGCCACATATGTTGTCACTTAGTTGAGTCTTTTAGGAGGAGGTATATGACTTAAGATTTAGTATTTAAAATCTGACAAATATGGCATCTGTTTCTTAAACACAAGATTGATTTTACTAAGTACTTGAGAGACTTAGTAAAAGAAAACAATTTCCGCATCTCACAAGCTTTAATTGTTTTGTGCTTGGTCAAGTATTCATCTTCTTCTTCATCAAGCTCTGATTCTCCCAGCAGTTCTTCAGATTCTGAAGATGAGGTAAGATTTGCTTAAAATCATTTGTGAAGTAATATCTCTAACCTACTTAATGTCAAGAGGAAACTACTGTGAAATCTCTCTTAGCAATGTTTACTTGCAGGCTCTGATTAAGAGCCCTGGCATGAGTGAATTAAATGGTGAGATACTTAAATATTGGTGCATATGTATATTTTAAGTTTTCTAAACTTGTTTAAAAAATCAGAAGAAAAGATTTGAAAAATCTAAAAAAAATGATGTTGGACCAAATGCTCAGGATTACATGTGATTCAAACCAGTTGCTTTTTTAAAATACAAAGTGGTGTGTTACATTTATAGCAACTAAAGCCAAGAATCCTGAAGGATTTAGTTCAGTGGCACCATGCCTGCCTGGCAAGCACAAGGTCCTGAGTTTGATCCCTGGTACAAAAAAAAAAAGCCAGGTATCCTGGTTCACACCTACAATTCCAGCACTGTAGAAGGCTGAGACAGGATGATTACAAACTTGAGAGAGGGCTGGGTATTTAGCTTAGTGGTTCTGCTGCCTGCCTCGCAAGTACAGAGACCCGAGTTCCATCCCTGGTACCCAAAAACAAAACAAACTTGAGTGAGACTCTATCTCAAAATAAAAAGAGCTGAGGCTTGTTCTGCTCCCTGCCTCACAAGCACAAGGACCCGAGTTTGATCCCCGGTATGGAAAAAACAAAAAAACAAAAAAACAGTTGAGGCTATAGCTCAGTGCAGAATTCCCACTACCAAAAAAAAAGTAATTGGGCTGGGGATTTAGCTCAGTGGTTCAGTGGCCTGCCTTGCAAGTGCAAGGACCCAAGTTCAATCCCTGGTATCAAAAAAAAAACAAAAAAATTAATATATGGTTCTTTTATTAAATTGTGTTCATTAATAAAGTTTTTATCCTCTGGTGTGAAAAACTACAAGTGTGAATTGTATAACTGTATACAAATTGTATAACTGATAAAGTGAAATAGGAAGAAAGGGGCTAAAGGTGTAGGGGAACTGGGAAGGGTAGGGGAAAGGAAATAAGGGATAATGGAAAAGGAAAAAATGGAAAAAAGTCTTTGTAAAGAGGGGAGGATGAAGGGGATGAATGGAGGGCAGGAGTAAGGGGAATAAATGAGAACCAAGATCTGTCATGTAAAGGTACAAGATCCCAATGATAAATTTAACTGTACTGTATACTTAAAAAGTACCAGTAAATTCAATAAGATTTAAAAATAATAATAAAATAGTTTTTCTCTTAATAAAATGTATAAATTATATTTCTGAAACAAAGCATATGTTTCTGAAAATCTTTTATGTAGGAAAAGAAGCAAGCAAAAAGGAAAAAGAAAAAGAAGAACCGTTCACATAAGTCTTCTGAAAGCTCCATGTCAGAAACTGAGTCAGACAGCAAGGTAAAAAAATTACTTAAATTATTAACACTTTTTGATGGCAAAGACCTTTAAGTTTTCCTTTTAGTTCTTCCTGCCTTACCCACTTACAAGTGGAATTATTTAAATCCAGGCTGACCAAAACTTGCATATTTTTTATTAATTTGTATAAGATAATATATTTGTATAAGATAATATCAAAATGACAATTTTATCAAATTATTCTATACAAGAATCATATGATTGAAATGATACCTCCCCAGGTGATGCTCAAGATAGCAGGTAAAGAGAACTGCCCCAAGTGATAACTTGGGGTACACTGTTAAGTGGTTAAATTGCTGTCAGAAATGAGATACTGTTTGATTTTGTACTTTGATGTTCTGGGCCACTTAACCTATCTATGTACCTTGCCATGTACCTTGCCATGTACCTTGCATGTAGCATTTAAGAGTTCCCTCCGAGTACTTTCATATGTATCACATATGAAATTGTGTTACTGAAATGTGATAGTATTTTCCCCATTTTCTTAAAGAAGTTGTAGTTCAGAGAAGAAAATCTTCTTTAAATTCATAATGGCTAGTGTTAAAATTGGAAATTGAATCAGCATCTGTAAATATCTGGCCCAGTACCCTTCATGCTGCATCATTCACAAGTTTGTTTTGTACTGACATACCCAGAATTTTCATTCAGTCTTTCAAGATCATTTTTGTAAAGGCATGCAGTATTCAGTAAAAATGCTGATTCCGTGAGCCAGAGGTGTAGCTCATCGGTAGCGTGTGTGCCTCGCATATGCAAAGCCCTCTGTTCAATCATCTCTACCCGGAAAAAAAGAAAGTTGATTCCTAGACTCTCATTTCCAGAATCTGATTTTTTGTCTGATTAGACTTAGAAGTAGCATGTATATTTTAGCAGATGCCATATGTGATTCGGATACAGGGGTGTTTGTGGACTATAATTTGACAAATGCTATACTAAGGTCTCGGGAAACTAAAGTAAAATGTTTGTATTTTATAGATTTTATCTACTTGCTTTAGTGAACTTTGTTCTGACAAAATGCCTAACACCTAAAAAGTACTCAATAAATATTTGTTTTCTCTTTGTCTTTTAACCGTAAGTAGTGGTCTTACAATAATGACAGTCAACATTCATTGAGTGCCTACTGTGTGTGGATCAATTCTTCTGAGCGTTTGGAAGCTGACTCATTTAACAACCTATGAAGTAGTTGCTAATCCACTTTGTGCATAAAGAAACTGAGTGTTGAGGAGGTTCCTAGCTAAAATTAAGGAATTAAAAGCAGAAATTCTTGCCTCCTCACCTGATGGAGGAGTGCGGGCAGATTGAACCAGTAGATGTATGAACAAAGTGTGATTAGATCTGCAGTCCAGAGGCAGAGGCGGGCAGTGACATGAAGTCCTGCTTTAAACCTGTGTGTATTTCAAACAGTCTTAGGGGTACATAGATTTGATAAATGAATAAGTCATTGACTTACAAGCAAATGCCTACCTGACATATTTCTCTTGTAAGAATAATGTGCTGATATAGTAAACTTTCTCACTTCTAGAGCCTATCAATTGTTTTGAATTTTTGTCTTTGTTCTATAATGGTGTATTCTTTACATTGAACAGTGATGTATATATGTCTGTCTGTTTAGGATAGTTTAAAAAAGAAGAGGAAGTCAAAGGATGCAACGGAAAAAGAAAAGGTAACTATTTTTACATTACCTTAGGATATCTGTCGTACAACATTTAATTGACTTCCAGAAATGAACTATAATGTATACCTGTTTTTAACTTGAAGGTATTTTGTTTTTTTTGTTTTTTTGGTTTTTTGGTTTTTTTTTGGTACCCCATGGGGCTCAAACTTAGGACCTTGTGCTTACGAGGCAGGTGGCAGAACCACTGAGCTAAATCCCTGGCCCCTTATTTTGCTTTTATGCATTTCATGTTTATGGTAAAGAAATTTTTTTAATTTGCTTTTCTTTTTGAAGGTAAAAGTCAGGAGATTATTCCTGTGGAAAGTTTGAATTTATATTATTTGATGAATTATCTCAGATTTTAAGAACAAAATAATGGAAATCGAACATTTCCTTTATTCCCTCAAATGGGCATTGCTGCCACATTGGCTTCTGAACCAGACCCTCATGCTAGGCGTGTGCTCTACCACTGAACTACGTCCCTAGCTCTTCTTTCTTTTCTTTTTTAGAACAAGTGATACAATTTTATTTGAGTATGAAAAAATTTAAAATTTTGCATCCAGTTGTATTTTGTGTTAAGTCGATGAAAATGTGGCAGAAGGTTGGACGAGCTCTTTTCAGTGCTCTTGAGGTATTTAAGCGACACATGCAGCTTCAACGCTTTAATTAAAAGACTTATAATACAATATAAACTTGCAACTTTCCGTTCCTTTTTTAAAAATTTTATCTTTATTAGTACCTGTTTGTAGTACAGGATGATCACATTCATCATGGGGAGTTGGTGCGTGCATTTTTAAACAGGCTTCCCAGGTTTCGCAGGCTGGCTTGTGGTCCACCTTGCATCAGCTTCCTGAGTAGCTGGAATTATAAGTGTGTAACCTGGTTCCTTTAGGCATTTTAAGGGAGGCCCTCTAAGTTACAAAACATCAGGCAGCCCTGGAGGCTGAGGCAGGAGGATCACTGATTTTGAGGCCAGCCTGGGCTACATAGTGAGTTTAAGACCAACCTGAACTACATAGCAAGACCCTGTCTCTAATATGTACATAATACATATATACATACATGCATGCATGCATGCATACGGGGCATGGATGTAGCTCAGTGGCACTGCGCCTGCCTGGCAAGTACAAGGTCCTGAGTTTGATTCCTTGTACCAAGAAAAAAAAAAAACATACATACCATGGACATGTGTTCAAATTGAGTATACCATAGATAAATTTGTAAAATAAATCTTTATTATTGTAAGTAGATATTTATTAATCTTCATTTATGACTTAGCTTTTTTTTTTTTTTAAACACAGGGTCTCTGTTGCCCAGTCCAACCCCAAACTGTGCCCAGAGATCCTCCTACATCAGCCTTCTGAGTAGCTGGGACTTTGGTACATGGCATGATTCATCTATAGCTAATACTAACTAATTACTGTGTAGTAAGTGGTCAGAGGAAAAAACCATATGATGTCAATAATTGCCCAAAGGATGTATTATAATTTAACATTCATTTTTTATTTTAGTTGCACACATACTTTTAACATGAAAGTAACCATTTACTTTATAATGGCTTTGATGATCAGGAATAAATATACATAGAATACTAAAACAACTGCATTGTGATTTTTGAATTACTTCAAATATCCCATATAATGAATATACATGTACATATCAGCTTGAATGTTTTACACTCTTCAAGCTTTTGGGGGTTTTGTTTTGTTTTGGTGGTGATATGTTTTTGTTTTTGTTTTGGAATTGAACCCAAGACCTGGTGTATTCTAGGCAAATGCATTTCTCCTTTTCCACAATTACTGTTACTTTTCTGAGGTATACCCGGGACTATAATTTCGGTGTTCTGGGAGGTGCATTTAACTGAATGATATTTTGCTCACCAAAGTGCTTGTTGATAATTTGCATTCCTGCTGGTAGTGTATGACAGTCCCCTTGTTTCACATATGTGTCGGCATTGTGAGCCTTCATTTTGCCAGTTGAGAGTATATAAGGATTGTGCCTCTTCATGTTTGCATTAGCATTCAGATCTGTGTATAGTTTTTACTCACCTTTTTTTTTTTTTGGTGGTGTGGGGATAGGGCTAAGGCCTCATGTGTGCTCTACCACTGAGCTACATCCCCAGTCCATATCTTTTCTGAGTTGTAAGAATAATATATTTTGGGTATCAGTTTTTCATACACATGATTGACAATTTAAGTCATATCAATCATTGGTTTTAGCCCCATTATTTAAAATCATTCTGAAAGTACTAGGTAATACAATATGCGATTAGAATATGTCCCTTGTATAATAGTGACCAAATATCCCTAGTAGGAAGAAAATATTTCATTTATAAGAAATATATAAGTATATATTAATATAATTATATAACTATAATTCTGTATGATTACAATTATATAATACATAATTAATATATGAATATTTATAAGTATAAGAACATTTTAAAGACATGAACAAGACTTATTTGAAGAAAGCTGTGTAAATTAATGTATACATGTAAGATAAGTTAGCATTTCTGTTTTGTTTTGTGACAAGGTCTCACTATATATGTAGTTCAGGCTGGCCTTGAACTGTGTGGCCCAGGCTGGCCTTGAACTCTAAGCAGTCCTTTTGCCTCAGCCTCCTGAGTGCCGCACCACCATACCTGTCTAATTTTTATTTCTTAAAGTGCTTCAGTCCCTAAGTACTTCTCCTAGTCTGAGTCCCTTCTCCTTCCTTAGAATTACTCATTTTCTCAACCTTAAAAACACCTTTAAGATGTTCATGTTTTTGGTGGATTTTGTTTTGTTTTGTTTTGTTTTTTGATACAGGAGATCAAATTCAGGACCTTGAGCTTGTGAAGCAGGTGCGATGACACTGAGCTAAATCCCCAGCCCAAGATGTTTTTAAAATGTAGACTTAATAATTTAAATGTTCTGAAGGAATTGCTGTGTAGAGATCCTTTTAGATCATCTTAGATAATTACCCATTGTTTTTTTTTTCCTACAACAGTAAGTTGTTCCTAAGTCTATCTAACCCTGGATAGAAACAAAAGAATTAGAATACAAAGGACCCAAATCTTAAAGCATCTATATGGCTTCTTTTGACTTCAAAATTCTCTCATATGTAAGTTAAGGAAATAAGGGGGCTGTTGCATATAAATGGATATGTAGTTCTTTTCAAGTTATTTAATAAGATTGTTGATTTATTGGAACTAAAGATGTAAATCTTGGTAAATGTCACAATTTTTAGGCATTTCTGAATTAAAAAATAGGTGATTTTGTGCTAATTGGAAGAATTAAATAGAATTTGGAAGCATAAAATTTCTGTGGGATAGAAAGATATGTGTATTTCATTTTTCACAGGACATTAAAGGATTTAGTAAAAAAAGAAAGATGTATCCTGAAGATAAACCTTTATCATCTGAGTCCTTATCAGAATCAGATTATATTGAAGAGGTGAGTAAAAGAAATGAGTTGTTCCATTTCAGAGTAAGTCCTGCATTTTTCTAGAAAATGATTATGTGACTATTTTGATAATTAACTGTATTCCCACACACTATTCCAATCTGAAGTACTTTATTTTTCTAATGTTTTCCTATCATACTACCATTCTGATTACACAGAAGAGTTTGTATAATGTACAGCAAATTGAAACCTAGTATTTGCTTATATGACTAAAGATAGAACATTGCACACATTGACCTTGGTTTTTTTACTGTAAAGCCAAGGAGGACTATAAGTTCTTCTTTGCAGTCCCTGTCAAGTTTTGTAATCTGTTAGAATTACAGCCCATTCTTAGTTAATTTCAGGTCAATAAGTGATCTTTAAAGTATTTCTTTCTTGATCTTGGTTTCCTCATCGAGGAGCCTAGCATATTGTAACGAATGAGATAGATGATGAGTTACAGGGGGCCTTAAGTAATACCTGGAACAGAGGATATAGTCCCCAAATTTGGTGGAACAGTAAGCCCTAACCTAAGGTTGCGCTAGAGCCACACACCCATCTCCCACTCACAGCAGTGTAGTCTAAAGAGTTGGGGTCTGGCCTTTCATTGTAAGGGCAGCCGAGTGCCAGCTGGTTGTCCTGACTCTGTCTCCTCTGTGTGCCAGAACCCTCCTGCTTCCACCCTGCCCAGCTCTGTGTCTGCCTTGTCCCTCACCTACCACTCCCTGAGCTCCACCTCTCTGTTTATGCCTGTCTTTCTGATTTCACTGCCTGTGATCCTGTCAGGCCTGTTGCTCCCATCCTGTAGCAGTGTTTTACAGTGCTTCCTGAGATGAAATTCAGTGCTAATAGAAACTGCTGCTTTAATTTTTTATTGCTTTCCTGTAACAGAAATATAGAAGTAAAAGTAAATAATATGTAATTTTCTAAAATTCTATTTATATATTTATAAAATTGTATTTTGTTACGTATGTGCTTGTGTGTGATAACAGAAAACATAAAATCTTCAGACAAAATGGAGGAAGTAGCTGGTACATTTATGTCCTTTAGAAACTACTCATCATCATTGCTGCCAGGGACATTTTCCAGAATGGTAGAGAAAATTTAGCTCTGAATGGAGTTAAGTTCTGTCTTCCCTCTAGTTATAAGTTATGTGCATCCCTGTGGTATGCACTGTATATTAAATTCTGAATAAAAGACTTTGTGTTTATTTTTACAATCCATTCACTGTCTGTATCATCAGCAGGTTCGTTACTGACTCTTGAATTATTAGTAGCCAGCATGTACAGGAGTCCAGAACATGGGTGACAGCAGCCCTCGTCTCTGCCTGTTGAAATACATTGGCAGTGTAGTTGCTGTCACCCCAGTCACAACAGGAACCGCACGGGTGAACCATACAGCTCAACCTTCAGACAATTTTAAACTCTAGTTTATATTAATTACATTTGTTACCTAATAAGTAAAGATTATTCTAAAATGTCTTTATATTTGGATTTAACATTTCATACACATGCGCTTTAGTATATTTAAATCCAGTAGGGGGCCAGGGATATGCTCAGTGGCACCACGCCTGCCTGGCAAATGCAAATCCTGAGTTCAGTCTCTGGTACCAAATAAATCAACCTAATATGTTACACTTAAAGGTCAAAATAAAATGGGGTGACAATTGTCATTTAAAGGGATGTGAGGGAGGTGCCAGGGTTGAACCCAGGGCCTCGTGTATGCTAGTTAAGTGCTCTACCACTGAGCTACATTTCCAGTGCTTCTTATTTTAATACAGGTGCCTAGGCTAATAATTTTGTTTATGCTAAGTACACTTTATATGTAGCTACCATTTGTTGACACCGTAGATCACTTCTCAGCCTTTTGGCTAAGATCAAACGTTGACATCTTAGACTAAACACCTCCTATTTTGCAGACACTGCCCCTTACAGTGTTACTTCCTTTCTTATAGATGATGAAGGTGAGGTAGGATTCCGTTCCTGGTCTGTTATTTCAGAGTTCATGTTTTTTTCCCCACAGTACCTTACTTCTTTTTTGGGTGCTGAATGGGACTATGAAAAGCCCTTGGAGCTCTAAGAATTTTCATTTTCTTTTTTTATACATTTTTCATCAAAATCGTATACCTATAGTGTGATTTGTTTGTACGTGTAACTTGAAGATGCAGGATATACATATTAGGGAATGAAAAAAGGTACTGAATACAAATTACATGTATTTTCTTCTCTTCAAAAAAATTTCCACTTTTTAGGTACGAGCAAAAAAGAAGAAAAGCAGTGAAGAACGAGAAAAGGCAACAGCAAGTATCTCTTATCTTTTTACGTAACAGCGTCATTTTGGTTTAATGCACAGGGAGCTGTGTAATAAAGCATGAGCAGGAAATGATTGGGAAGGGCCTGGTTTTTAGCAGCCTCGCTGAGTGGAAAGTCGACTGGCTTGGGACGAAGGAAGAATGCTGTGGTGGCAAACATGCAGCGTCTGTCCCAGGGTCTGACCTTCAGAAATAAGAGCTCAGACTTCCATTTGACGTTTTTAAGCTATAATAAAGTATAGCTTAGGTAGAAAAACCAGGAATAACAACAGCAACAAAGCCTCTTGAAGCACGGGCTTCAAAAAAAGACCAGAAAGGAACAACATAGGACTCATGAATACCAAGGGTTCTGTTAATAGTTTTGGTTTTGGTTTGGTTTGGGGGTTGTTTTGGTACCAGGGATCGAACTCAAGACCTCGCACTTGCCAGGCAGCCACTGTGCCCCTAAGCTAAATCCCCAGCCCTTGTTAATAGTTTTTAAAACCAGCTCTGCCATCATGCAAATTGTGAAATGGGAAAGGAAAACGAAGAGACGGCTTAAGGAGGGAGGAAGCCATATCCAAATGAGAAGCAAACCAACAGAGAAACCATTGACAGATTTTGAAAGAGCAGTGCCTGCCCCATCAGCAGCTCACATAAGGGTCTTCTGTCCATGTGTTGGTTGTGGCCTTTGGCAGCATCTCTTAGGGAGAGGTGAAAAAAGTGAGGGCAGCATCAGGATGGACTTTGCTTAGCTCTTCAGATGAGAAACCCTTGGTTTTAGGAAAGAGGGTTCACCTGGGAGTGTATGGCTCAGAACACTGCATCTGTTTTAAGACCAAGGTAGCAGGACACTTGGTGTTTTGTTTTTTCTGAGTAGGGAAATAATTTAAGTGAAGAATACTCTGGGCTGATTCAGATTAATTGCAAGGCCTAACAGGCTTACTCCATTGTGGATGACGTTTCGTTCTTGCACTTTCATTGTTGACCTTCCACCCGCCTGCACTCAGATCTGTGTAGTTCCACGCTGCACCTAAACACGATGGATGATGCAGTGGGTCTGAGAGTGACCGGGCCTGCGAGGCTACAGAAGCCTTCTGTGAAAGACTGGGCTGTGTCTCAGTGGCATAGTGCTGCCTAGTACACTCCAGCCCTAAGTCTGTCCTGGCACCACAACAGGGTGGGAGGAGAAATACTATCTGAGGAAGTAAAATTCAACTGAAGTCTGATTTACAGGAAAGAGCCAAAAAAAAAAAAAAAAAAAAAAAGAATGGCCTAGGCGAGGGAAGAGATGGATATATGCTGGGAAGTGCTTAGTGTATTGGAGGAACTGAAAGGTAAACATAGCTTGCACCTGGTGTCTGAGGGGAATACCTTATAATGAGGTTGGGAAGGAAGCACAGGCTGTACCATGCGGCACTGTGGTAGGGTTTTAATTAGAATGTTATGAGAAACAGGATTTTAAACGAAGGGGACCTGAATACAACTATTTTATTTTTGGTACCGGGGATCGAACTCAGGTCCTTGCACTTGCAAAGTAGGTGCTGGAACCACTGAGCTAAATCCCTGGCTACCTGACATTTTTTAACAGGCTTTGGCAGAGATGAGTGGACTGGTGAGGAATGATGTTGTGCTATAGTGCTGGTATAAAAACGGTACTGGCATGGCTGGATTTGAGGCATGTTTTTAGACCTAGGTGGTAGGACTTGGTAGGTGCTTTGGATGTGGAGAATATAGTTTTGTTTTGTTTTTTTAAAAAAAAAAAAAAAAAAAAAAAAAGTTTTCATTAAATTAAGAAAACTTTGAGTATTTTTACAAGTATTTTTTCCTATCCCTCTGTCTCTTCTGAAACTCTAATTACATATAGGCTGCTTGATCTTATCCAAGAGCTGAATAATATAATGTTCAATTTTTTCCAGTCTTTTTTCCTGTGTTTTTCAATTTCACTGATCATTTCTATTGTTATATCTTCAGCTCACTAATCTTCTGCAGTGCCTACCATGCTGTTCAATCCAACCAATGTTGTTTTTGGTTTTTTGGTTTTGTTTTGTTTTTTTGTTTTTTTGAGACAGAGTCTCACTATGTAGTTGAGACTGACCTGGAACTCACTGTGTAGCCCAGGCTGGTCTTGAACTCATAGTGATCCTCCTGCCTCAGCCTCCTAAGTGCTGGCATTGCAGGCAACATCTAAGTATTTTTTTCAAGGCTCTTAAAACTTGAGTTCAAAACATGAGGCTGATATAAAGATGTGGGTGTCTTTGATTCTTATATGGAATGTAAAACGTGACTGGAAGAGCGCTGACGAAGAAGGGAAGGAAGCCCCAGAAAGGTTGAGGACAGAAAATAAATCTCTGTGATAAAAGAAAACCAGCAAGGTGAGGTGGTGTAGAAGGAAAGTGTGCATTTTTAGAAGGTCACTTAATTTTTTGTTTTGTTTTATTTTTTATTTTTTAAGACAGGGTCTCACTATGTAGTTGACACTGACCTGAAACTCACTGTGTAGCCCAGGCTGGTCTCAAACTCACAGCAATCCTCCTGCCTCAGCCTCCCCAGTGCTGGGATTACAGGTGTGTGCCACCACGCCCGGCTGAAGGTCACTTAAAAGCCCAGTGGGGCTAGGGATGTAGCTTGGTGGTACAGCACTTTTCTGTCATGAAAGATGCACTGGTTCAGTCCCCTAGAACTGAAATGAAGGGATGAATGAATGGCCAGACTATAAGGTTTTGGACTCTGTAAAATTCCCTGTATATTTAAGTGTGTGTTGGAAAAAACGATGGTGAAAGTCATCTTAATACTACAGAACGGAAGAGCCTGTGAAGGAAGATGGTCACTGGTGGTGCCGGTGATGAGGAAGTAGATAGGAAGCTCTGCCGATTTGTCTCTCTTGCTTTTAGTTTTGTTGTCCTTGCACTAACAGTTTGGTGCCGTTGTTCTGAGAATTTGTGTCTCTGGAAATTCTGCTTATACTTCTCCAGTAGAACCGCTCGGGCGTTGGAGAGTGACAGAATTCTATCTCCCTTTTACCCGCTCAGAATTTGATGACTCTCCCTAGGCATCCGGCAGCATTTCCCTGTAAAATCAAGCTTCTCTTTTCCTAAGCGACACACTTTTTACCTGTACATCATCATTTTATATTAGTGAGTTGGAGTTAGTAATTAGTCTACCAGTCTGAGCAAGCACAGTATGTTTCTGCTTACTTTAAAATAGCAAATTTTTCTTTTCTCTGAAAACTGTCACTTTAGCAAAATAATTATGCTTTACTGTGGTATGCTAGCAAAGCATAACTGATGATGTAATCTGCAGTAGCTGCAATTGTTTGCTTTTCAGAATTATGTAACATAAAGTTATAAAATTATAGGACATGTAGCCGTACATGGTGGTGCACACCTGTAATCCCAGCACTCGGGAGGCTGAGGCAGGAGGATCGCTGCCAGTGTGAGGCCAGCCTGGGCCACACAGTGAGTTCCAGGCCAGTCTGAACTGCACAGCAAGACTCTGTCTCAAACACCAAGAAAATTATACAGCATGAAGTAAAGCAGTTGATAGCTGCTTCACTTGAATTTATTTCCTACAGGAAATTTTGGTAGAGACTGTGGCAATGTGCTAATGACTTAAAGAGTTGTTTTTCTACTAAAACAAGAACTCAGTCCTTACAGGATACTGTTGTTGAGACATTTTTAGAAATGTTTTGTGTTTACTTAGTTATGTGGATTGAAGTCGCTTAGAAGTGCCACAGGAAAAATGTTCTTAATTTGCATTTTTTCATGTAATAATATCTAACATTGAATTATCTTTACAGGAAAAAACAAAAAAAAAAAAGAAGCATAAGAAACACAGTAAGAAGAAGAAAAAGAAGGCTGCTAGTTCAAGTCCTGACTCACCATAACATTAACAAAAACCAGGATTCCCTTATGAAGAAAGTGCAATGTCTAAGGAAATTTCAACTGTGAAAATTATGATATATTTACTAAACTGCATGAATTTTCTTGTTTTTAGAATTGTTCTTGGACTATTCAATAGCCACTCAGATGCCGCTATGTGAAAGGGCCATAATTGTTGCTTGCTGCTTGAACATCTACTTTTTCTCCTCCAGTGCGTGATAACCTCGGGAGATAATACACTGCAGTCATACTAGTGGTTAAGATATTTGGGGATAAAGCTAATATTTTTGACTAGAAGTATCTAGTGGTAAATCAACAGAAACTGATTCTGGGTACATCTTTAAGATGTAATCAGAAATGGCCAGATGACTCTAGTTAAATTTTTTTAAGTAGGGATTACATTGATATTTTGAATTCCTTACTCTGTAGATAGGTATAATTTTTCCCTCTGGTATACTTTTATTTACATCGGGAAGGAGTTTAGGGTGGAGGGAGGGGTGGTTTGCTATCTCTTTAGCTAGCAGAATAGTGTGCCTTTGATCCTCACACATCTACTTTTGTGGACACAGTAGCCATGCTTACTGGGGAGGTCAGAGCTGGGTACCAGCAGTCTTACCTTTTATTAAGCTTAATGGCATCCGTGGACTTTGTCATATGCTGTTTGAGTGAACCAGAGAAACAGCCCTTTACAGCATGAGAAAGCCCCAAAGCTCTGGGTTTACCTCCACATCAATAACAACTGAATATTTTTTAGCTTTAGAATGTGTTATATCATTTGAATTAATTTTTGACTATACTTTGGCTTTGGAGAGGAACTGTTTCATATAGACACTGGTACTTTTTGAACTTCATAGCTAAAGATTCTAAAGTGCATGTTTTATACTGTTGAGTTTTAACCAGTCAGGAAAATTTTATGTAACCAAGGATAGTTACTTTATTTTTTTGTATGAATGTTGTTTAGGCTGCCATGTTTCGCTTTTGTTAACTCTTTACTCTTGCTGTCTCAAGTTCATTACTATGTTTAATGGCACCCTTGACGAAATATTTAGCATGTAAAAAGAAGGTTCTGATTTTTTGTTTTTAAACAGCTTCATATTGAAGCTGACTTATAAACTAGTTGAGTGGCAGGCCTGGTATGCTGTATCTTGTTACAAAAAGCTATTGCCAGAATCTTAGTAAATACAATGTTTTAAAAGTTTGTTGTCTTTGTATATTAATAACAAATTATGACAAGTTAAATTTAAGTGAGAATTGTATTACTGTTCTTCTTGTGTCATATTTTACTAAGATTTTGTGCCTCATATCTCTTACTGAATTATTAGGAATGTTAAAAGGAATTGATTTTTCATTTTACATTTTTATATAATCAGGTAATATGAAATATAACTTGATGTACAATTTTGCCTGTTACAGAGGGTGTGCTAATTATAGTGGTATATGCACAGAACATTTTGGCATGACAAGAAGCTGAATAAATAGCTATTTTACTTAAAAATAGCTGTGTTCATATGTGGTCACAAGTAAAGTTATAAAGATAAATGCTATTCAGTGTTAG